TTTTTAAAGCGCTTAAGATATCCATAGAAGGGTTCACTAGGAATGAAAAAAGATAATCTTACTACAGACGGGCACTCTTATAAACGTACTATGAAGTCCAATAATGAGATACTAAGCGAATGTGGAATGGGTAAAAAAAGATAATCCTACTACAGACGGGTACTTATAAACGTACTATGAAGTCCAATAATGAGATACTAAGCGAATGTGGAATGGAGAGAATCTACGTCGCACTCAGTTGATGTAATATATTCATAAAGGTATAATACAAAACACATAATACAATAGAACGAGAAACAATGGAATACAATACATTTTATGAATACATTACATCAACTGCGTGCTACGTAGGTCACCCCATGTGGAATGCGACATATTTGAATGAGAATACCAAAGTCCAGCCTCTGTAACTATCATCCCCGTTCCCAGGGAGTTTTTCCGAGAGGAGAAATGGCCCTGGGATCGGCCGGACAAATATGAAATTTTTTCCATATCCCTATATTACTCATCATTCGTCAGTTGATTGGCCGATACCAGAGCTTTCTCTGTCTACCATTTTGGAAAAAAAGTGAGCAGAGAAGCCCTGGAAACGAGGTTGTGTGTCTATACTCAGAGATATTACATTGGAAAATATATGGCCAATTCCACTCAGTACAACTTTCTAACTGATAATGCACTTTTTAGGAGGAGTATCTTGGTAGACCGCCAACTCATCAACCCATTCCCCTAAGAACTCTTTCCTCTTTGCCATGTTCTCCTGCAGTAGTTTGGATTCCTCTTGCTGYAACTCGAGGATAAGCTTCTGGTGAGCCTCGATTTCTGCTCCTCTCCTTTCAGCTGCTCCTTTCCTCTTTTCCTCTTCGGCTCGACGCATTGCTTCAAAGATTTCTCTGTCTTTGCGCTCATCTTTTTGAACTTTTTCACTTAGCCGTTGGGTTTGCCGTTTTAGAAAGTCGATGTTCTTTTCTGCTGTGTCATTACTTGCTTGAGTTCTTGACTTTTCGGCTTCAGAAATTCGTCTACTTTCGTCTTTATGCCAAGCTTGTTGTAACTCGACACGTTTTTCGAGTTTCTCGATTCTTTCCCTTTCTGCTTCTTCTCGTTTTTCTTCTTCCATTTTCAGGTGATCTTGTTGTAGCTGAAGCAGTCGTTGTTCTTCGTCCTGTCTTTGATTACGACCAAATTTCTGATTTTCTTGTAAGTTCATCTCTCTCTCAGCCTTCAAACGAGCTTCTTGTTCTTCTTTATGTCGTTGCTGTTGCTCAACTTTACGCCGCTCTGCTATTTCTACAGCTCTTTGTTCTTCTTCCCTTCTTTGCTGTTCAGCGGCTTCGAGCTTGGCAGCGTCTCGTTGAGTTTTCTCGTTTCCTTTTTGATTCAACTCTTCGAGATAATCATCCCATTCGTTCTGTATTTTAGTGAGTTTTTCTTGTCTGTGACTGTGTTCTCGTGCATGAATCTCTTTTTCCAACTCCATTCTTGCCTTAGCAGCCTCTTCTCTTTGTGATTTGAACGTTGCCTTCTCTGACTCCGCTATTTTCCGCTTGTTCTCTTCGACCTCTAAAGCCTTATCCAAAGCAATTTGGTCCATTTCCTTTTTGTGAAGAGATTTGAACTCGACTATTTTTTCCAACTCCAGATTATGTATTTCTTCTTCTAGTGCAATTCTCGCTTCTTCTTCTTCTTGTCGTTTCGAACCCTGTTGGTGCTTTTTAGAATCGAGTTTTGCAGCTAATTCTTGCTCACTTTGTTGTTTCTCGTCTTGCCATTGCTTTCGWCGGTTCTGCAACTCCTCCTTGGCTTTCTCTTGCCTTTCTTTCATCTGATTGAAGTACGCCGCTTCTTCCTCTTTTAATTTCTCAAGATAATTATCATGACCAACAAGTCTCGTTTTCGCTTTTTCAAGTTCCAATTTTTCTCTTTCAACGGCTTCTTCYTGAAACTTTTTCTGCTTTTCTTGCAGCTGCTTCAATTTGGCTGTCGCTTTDGCATCTTCCTCAGATAGATCTTTCACCGTGTTTGAAATGATCTTTTTCTCTTTCTCAACTCTCTTTTCCTGAAAGTTGTTGCGTTTCTGGTTTTCGTCTTCGATTCCTTGGTCAAACACTTCCTTTGTCTTCGCAAGCCTTTCTTTTCGACGTTGCTCCAACAGCTCTGCCTTGCGTTTCTCATCTGCAGATAACGATTCAAAAATTTGTTTTTGCTTTTCCGTGAAGTTCTTCAACTGCTCCTTATGGGCAGCTAAGTTTCTTTCATTTCGTTCAGCATACAGCTTTCTAAGTCTGGCAACTTCTTCTCTTTCCTTTTCCAGCATTTGTTTTCTGTCCTCCGAGTTAAAAACTGTGTTTTCAAAATTCTCCCTCGATTGAAAGGCATTGTGTATGTCTTCCTCTAACTGAGCTCTTTCTCTCTCGGCTGTTTCAGCGTATCTATTTTCTTCTTCTTGCCACTGGAGGAAATACTGGACTATTTCTTCATCATTATTTTGAATTTGAAACTGCGAGGGGTCAAATTCCCTCTCGGTCGCAGCCATGGTTGGATTTGTAATTCAGGATACTGCAAGATATAAAGAAAGTTATTCAATAATCATATACATATAAAACAATTGTATAATATAGAARATTCTATAGGATTAAACAAAGAAAATTAGCCATTAGTAAAAGGTTTGACTTGATGATGAGAGGACAGGCCATGTACCATGAAGCGGAATCTCGAATACTAAAATACTGTTGAAAATGGAATATTCGAAGAWTAAAAGTTATGGGATAAAGAATATTGAAAAGAAAATATGGGAAGACTTGGGTTAATAGAAGGAAATTAAGCAGAATTGGAATATTTTGCTGACAGAACCAGAATGGAGAATAATCATGAATTGCACAAAATATTCCACTTAAACCACTGAACTTGTATGGTAGGTAGTCAAAGTTTAGGACACATAAGTAATAAATCACACACATATCCGAGTTCCAACACTAATCACAATTTCTAGGTGTGTATAGTACAACACTGCAGCCATGTTGGATGAAAACAACACAGCATTTCCCCATTAGCTTCCACATACGTATTTCTTTTTAACCATACCGGTGGCTTTGTTGATCATTTCACAGCTCAAAACATGTCCTTTGGCTTCAATGAGTCAGTCAAAGGTCCAATTGTTAGACTACATGAAAGCATTCCTTGTTGTGGGCTGGGAGAAGAATCGCAATGTCTGTTGCAGCCTGTTGCTCATCTTCTGATTCTTTGCTCCATCACAACAAGGGATCAGACATGTTCAGACATTTTCATTGGAAATGATTTGATTGCAATTCCTTATTTGCTTTCATATAGGGAAGGTAATCAGTTTATGTTGTTTAGTTTCAAGTAGTAGAGTATTTTATTTCATTGCGGAATTAAAAAGATTGTGCTGTGGATTAATTTCTATTTCCACTATTCACTAAAATCTCTATTTTTGAAACTGGACAACATTTTTGAAATCAAATGACTTAAGTATAGCTTTTTTTAATTTTTTAATTTTTCCTTATTCTTTTATGAAACCAGGTTGAATATGTCAATACACGTCGCTGATGAACAATATCCATCTGTCTTAGCTAACTTACCCTGTGAACAGAGTGTTATTTACCTTACCTCAGTAAAAAATTCGTGAATGTTATTTCCTTTGCAAATGTTTTACTGAGGTAAGGTAAATAACACTCTGTTCACAGGTACCTTATTTGCATCTAATATAAAGTAAAAAACCCATCAAATAGACTTAAATTTACCTACACATTCTCTGATTAGGATTGATGTCTCTTTGAGTTATCATTTTCATATTAATATTCAGTGGATAATGATTTCAAACTCTAGTGGATAGCAATATTTCCTCTTTGTACAAATAGTCCAAGGAGCAAAGTTAGTTGATGCAAAGTTCAAAATTTCAGATGGCCGTCTTTTGAAACATATTAATCCTTAGCTCTGGCTGGTTGACAAAAWGATCAAAATAYAGATTAAATACATTTTGACTTCTTGAAAGAGATGCAAGAAATTTTGCTTTTGGAAATTTTGGGGATATCTTCTCATCAAGTTCAGTTCTAAATAGAGCTAGGATCTTTTAGGAAGCAGCTGAAAATGTATTTACAATATTTAGTGATTAAAAATCAAGAAACATACAGACTGTGCTCATTTGCTTGCAATTTTGTCATAAATCTACATGTACATGTGGAGATCATAAGCATATTGCACCATAAAATTATCACTAGAAGGTATACATAAAACAATATAGGCAATCATGGATAGAAATGATTAAAATAGACTGATGATTAAACTAGGCCTAGTACAGAATTTTCATGAAATTTAGAGAACTTCTTAAGTATTGTTACTATCTTTTGTGCAATCTATCACCAAWTGATTTAAGATTATATCGACAAAAAATGATCACAACTAGAAATATTTTCGAGCATCAAAATCGATATGGATGAGTTGCTGTGTGAAATGGTAAAAAACATCTAAAAGTACTGTGTGTAAAAACACGTATCATACAGTATTTCCAACAGGAATATCCTTCAAAATATCTAGAGGTGACCTATTTCACTTGTGTTCTTCATATCCCACTCTCTCTCTCTCATCCATTGACTTTGTTGTACTCGCTTTTCAATCAGAAAGGACGTTCAACTGTTTCCCTTCTCTCGATAAAACAACTGGGATTCTTTGACGTTCATAAACGTTGTTTGAATGCAGATAAACTTACCTTCCTATAGATGTTCTTACTTTGAATTAGATGCCTCTAAAATCATAGGAATAAGACGAAACTACTAATGATATAAACACAAACACAACTCAGCCATAACGCCCTCCAAGTCACGGAGGTTCGACTTAGTCCTCCACCGACTTTACGAAGGATGAGGTTTCTGGAGGCTGGTGCGAGTTTCTTTTTCACTTCCCAATCCTAATGCAGCTTTTCAAAGAGTTAGTATAAACATCTTAGAACTCTAGGATTTTTCTATGAAACTACTTTTCTTAAATTTCGACGCAGAAAAGAAGGAATACACAGGGAGCCCAACGTTTGTGAATGGCAATGAAAGATTTTGTATGATTGAAGAAAGTACAAATATGGTCAGGCAGTCATGACATCCTTGCTTGATGAAAGATTACTTGCAGTATGTTTTTTTGCACATTCATACAAACTTTCCTGCTAAATGTATTCTACTATGTTTTCCTTCTTTTTCTCAATCTCTCCTTTCTGGAAGTTGTAGGACATGCAGATATAGAGCAAATGGTCTGCAAATGGCTATTTACTACTTATTTTTTCTGTCGTTTGTTCATCCCCTCTGCTTTTTCATGCAAAAGAAAGACAATTACACAGGTTCACTCCTGTTCATTTTTTTTTTGCCTTTTTTGCCGTCACTTTAAATTGGCACTCTGGAAGTAGGTTAAGTACGAGGAAGAATTGTCCTTAAACTGAGGAAGCCTCAGACTTGACTGGCCTGCATAGTTGCTCTAATGGGATTAGGAAGAGCCAAGCGGAGAATGGGTGCAAGGAAAATGAAGACCCTCTGCCTTCCCTAATCCCATTAAGGCCATTACACAGGCTAACCTTGATTGGCCTTGTATGAACATGACAAATGTTTGCAAAAGTTTGTCTAGATTCAAAAAATTAAATTTCATCACAAGATGTAACCACTGAGTATATTGGAACTCCTTTATTAGATACCATATTTTATGTTTTGACCCTCCTTAAATGGAAACTGATATAATTTCTGACTAAAGAATCAGCATGTTAAAGGCCTACTTTGCACCATTATGCTTTGCATGCCTCTGTTATTATTATGATTTGCACCAAAATACTTCTAGTATCCAAACATCACCATAAAACGAATTTCAGATTGTTGAAAACTCTTATATTAGCGTTTTTAAAAAGCACTTAGAAAAGTGAGATGGTCAAAGATTCGAACACAGTACAATTATTTATAGACTTTCAGTAAACTGAAAATGGCCACCTCGCTGCCCCCAAAGCATAATGGTGCACACTGGGCCTTTAAAGGTTAATTTATGATAAAAGCAAACAGACAGAATAAATATCTAATACCAAGTTAAATACATATTATACTTTACAATCTATTTTCATGGCCAATCCTGTTATATTTCTTCCTAAAAACATTCTATCATTGATCCCTTGCAGTTTGTTACTGTAATATCATATAATTTATCATTATGACGTCAGACCAGATTATTTCTTTGACTCTAAACCTAAACGTTTTGATAGCAGACAAGTAAGAAAACCTGATTTCTGGCTTTGTTTATGGATTCCAAGGCAAAATTCCTCTGGAATGCACCGCTTTCCTTTTTCACAGTGGCAGAGAATTATTTTTAAGCTGCCAAAGCAACTTGGCAAAACTGCTATATTAGGAAACATTGAGAAAACATTTAGTAACTCATAGTCTTAGTCATTATTACCTAACATAGCATGCAAAATAATAATTATTAAATGCTTTTTCATTATTAAAATAATAGCTCAATCATAAAAATCATGTAAACTGATCAGTTAAAATGAAACATTTTACCGAAAACCTGGAAAAAACTGTCTCATTTTTAAATATTTGCTTTAAAATCTACCAAGTAGGAAAACTAATAATATTATTGTGCATATGGATGTAAAGTATGATGAACTTGAACTTTCCGCATCTTTTGTTGTTGTACAACACCCAGTACATTCAATYGTACTGTCAATAATGATTCATGAAACCAAATTTTGAACCCAAAGCAATAATAATGGGTGACAATTTCAATTAACAAGAACGTTCGTCCTCTTTCTTTTTCCCTTGGCCAATGGCATCAGGATTAGCTAACGGATCAAGGTCAGAAAACAGGTTAAACCAGGCTGACTGGTCGCCACCTTTACTTGGTTTTTCTTTCCCACTGGATGTTTTTCCAATATTGGTTAAGCTTTTGAGAGAAGACTTTGTTGGCATGGAGAGGCCACTTAATAGATTACGGCTAGTGCCATTGGTACTAGAGTTAGATGCAGCCTGCTGTCTGTTTGTGTCAGCAGGGCTACCAAATGGATCCATTCCTAAAAGGCTATCCATTAAATCTGATGGCAGGTATCCTGGATGGTTATCATTGGGAGCCTGTGCAGACGATGCCGACGATGGGATTGTCTGTGAAGGTATCTGTGGTTTGGGTCCATCGCCAAACAATTCATTCCATTTACTACTGAAGCTGTTTTGATCAACTTGTGAGGGTTGATTATCACCAAATACATCGCTCAATAAATCCAGGTCGCTTTGACTGGTTGGTTGTCTACTAGGAGAGCCAAACAAAAGATCATCAGCAGTCATGCCTGCTGTAGCACCACTATCTGTCATATGGCCATCTGAAATAAAATAGAATCAAATTGAAGACATCTTTTGAACTGTCTAGTCTAGTGATTGTTGCTTTAATCCACTGGGAATCACTACCTTCTCACTCACTCACTCAATCACCCACTGATTTAAGTAAACAGAAGCTTTTAGACATTAGATGGCAACTCTACAGAATTCATTCCATCACTAACACTTTTACCTCTTGACTCAAAATTTTTATCTAAACCCAAAAGATCTTTGGCAGCTTCATAGCTGGGTGGTTCAATGTCATTTGTATTAAAAGAACCCAATAGGTCAGCTGAACCTGAAGAACAAAACAATGCACATTGCAACAAAATGATACTATGGAGGAAGATTTTCAAGTGTTACTGTTTTCTATGAGTCATTTATGCCTACCAAAAAAATGTTTAGGAAAACGTTTTGTTTTTAGGTTATCCCATCATTTTTGGCCAAAATTATCAATATCTTATTAGAATAATGATTTGTTATTAGACATATAAAGGTATGTCTTCAGGAATGTCATGTCCAATGTTTGGTAATTATCATCCAAGTAGCTCTTTAAAGGGTTCAATAGACTTCTGAAACGTTTATGTCACTACTTTATTTTCAATACATTAATTGTGGGATCRGTTTCTAGAGAAAACAAAAGAAATCTGCCATGTTCTGTCCCCAACACATCCTACAATGCATTTCGTATACAGTACATGACGTAAAATCTTTGAAGGTCTAATTTCACGAACATTGTTAAGCATTTTGCAAAGTTAAATAATTTCAGCCATTTTTCCTTTGAATAAAGATCTGTTTCTGGTATAGAGAGTAAAACCATTATCATTCTTCTARTACTTATTGTTTCCTTACCCTTGTAATCAGAAGGTTGTTCCTCCTCTCCACCAAGAAGATCTATTGCCTGGCCACCATTCGCTTTCTGTTCACCAGAGCCTTCTCCCAAAAGGTCTGTTTCCAGTAATTCATCATCATCATCCTCTGTGTTTTCCCTGGAAGAACGTCTTTTGTGAACAGGAGAATTATCCAGACATATAAGTTTATCATCATCGTCATCATCATCTTTGCCATCTTCCTTCTGTTCTGTTGCCTCCTCAGCATTTTTCTCATCGTCTTTACCCTGCTGTGTTTCTTCATCACCCTTTTCTTCTTTGGTTTCATCTTTATCATCACCATCCAACAGTGGGTTCAAGCTTTTCAACATTTGGAATTGATAAACAGGATAACCCTTGAATTGCTCAGCCACCTGACTCATACTTTTACTCGTATTTTCCCAGAATTTCAACATTGCTTGCTGGTATGCTGCCAAAGTGCTGGATAACAGGTTACAGCGACTGGCAGAAAGAAGGTCTACCTTTTGCATGACATCGTGCTTGTTTTTCTCAAACTTCTTTTTACAAGATTTGACTTTGGTTTGAACCTGTTGAGAGCAAGTGAAGATTGAGTTTAACAAATTGCACAAGTTTTTAAGTTAGTAATTTTCATGATATCAAGAGACGTGTGTCAATAAGAGGACATACAATGAAAAGACAGTATGCAATTTGTTTTTACCACATTTTTAATCTAAAAATTAACAAAAAAAAGCATGTGGTAAAATGAATATTCTTTCACTCACTCACAATAACAGAATTATAATATTTAGTTCCAACTAACCTCTCTAAATTTGTCCAACCTCTTCCATTCCTCAGGGTCAAGTTCTTTTGACAAGTCTGCCATCCATAGAAGGCTAGCTCTATATTCTGTTCTAGAAGACTCCATACGGCCAACAGTCATTGCTGTATCTGATATAGCTCGGAATCGGAACGTTTCAATTTCTTGGTATAATCTTACAAGTGGAGTACGTAAACTCAGTCTGAAAAACAAATAAGCAAGAAAACACTTTTTTAGCATTCACAGTTCTTTAGATACATGTACTTTAGAAATACTGTCTGATGAGTGCGTAGCACGAAACCCGGAATAACAGCAAAATCTTGCCTCTTTGATATTATATATAACTAGCTCTACACTATATGTGTATGGAGCACTCTTCAATAGGATCAGCTACTCATACAATTAGATACATAATTTTGTATAGTTTAAAACATGAGAGAGAGTGTTTTATCAGGTATAAAGATTCGAGCCGAAGGCGAGAATCTTTATACCTGATAAAACACGATCTCGAGTGCTTTAAACGGCTTAAAAAACTCCAACACTAATTTGAAACTCAAATCCGTTAAAATTCTTGGAGAAATTGCCGTACAAATATGTTCAGAGATAAATGGGGCAAACTGATCATGCACTAATCACTTTACAAAGCACTCTTGTCATCCCACATTGAATACGCATAAAGTAAAATAGAACCGCTCTTGGCTGTTCACTGAAATCGGTTGACATCCTGCATTGGTCAATGATCAGGTTTCAAACCTGAGACCTTTGCTAGGGTCATGGACCTTTATATCTGATAAAGGTCACCCTTATTAGTATTCTTTATATAAAGAATACTAATAAGGAGTGTTTTATCAGATATAAATGTCCATGCATGTGACCAAATAGGCTCATTCTATTGGCCTAGTAGCTCATTAATTATGTATGAGTCTTTTAAGTAATATAWACACAGGCATGTCGGAATTATGCGCGGATGCGGACGCGCATAATTGCCCCCTTTCCGCATAATTTGCCAARWCGCRCATAATCSCGCATAATTCGTGTTTTTTTTCCATGTTATACCATTTTTTAAGATGACTTGCCTTCTAATAATGTTTTTTGTGGTCCATTGACTGTTTTTTTGATCAAAAAACGCTCCCAAACATGCTTATAATTTTCCGAATATAGTTTTGTTTTCGTRGGCTTCACAAATGTACCAGGCGTTCAAAATTTCATCAGAAAAGAGTCTGGGCACTAGCATTACTGGTCACCCTGTGCCTTACTAGATCACGTGACAAATTCCAATATGGCGTATGATACAAGTGAGATGTAAAGCGTGCGAGAACGAAAAAGTCTAAAAAGATCTTTCCTTCTGTTGGTACTGCCTTCTATACTTCGTAACTAAGATAAAAACAGAGTTTTGCATGAAAAACAAACACAATAACATAAAAATATGTAAAATTTCCCAAAGTTTACGTTCCTGTGATGACGTCATCCCGCATAATTTTCCGCATAATTCACTCTTTTCTCCGCATAATATGGGGAAAAAATTCCGCATAATTTTGATTTTTTTCTCGCATAATTCCGACATGCCTGTATACAATATGAGCGGGCGATCTGTATGAGGATTTAAAACAGCGAGCTGAAAGCGAGCTGTTTTAAACCTCATACAGATCGCACGCGAATATTGTATATTACTTATGAAACGTTAAGGTAAATTAGCTCAGGTTTTAAAGAAACTTTTGAAAAAAAATTCAATCTGACTGAGAAAATCAGAGTAAAAGTTTATGCAAATGAACAAGAAATCTGTATGTAATATACAACTCTCTTCATGGGCTATGATTTCTATTGTGTTTTGCCTTATTAATATTAATGAGTTTTATAAATATAATTATCCTTTGAGATGTTTTCTGTTATTTGTTGTTCACTCTAATGAAATAACCTGAATAGTGAATGAAATAACATCTGCAAATTACCTTTGTTGGGCTGTATAGCTTTGAGACTTCCCCACAGCTATCATCATTTTGCCAGCTTTGGATTTATCTTGTGACCCTTGTTCCCTAAGAAACCTTCCCATTTCGTTCTCATCTTGTGATAAAGCTGGAACAAATCAATGCACAGCATTGTTATTTATAGTTTGTGTAAATCATTGCTTTCCACAGAAATCAACCACCCCAACAAGAGTTAAAAAAAGTATGGATTCTTCAGCAATGAAAATAAATTCTTACCAAATATTCTGTTTTGATATATCTCAATAGCCTTGAGTAAGTCAATACAAGTCTTCTGGATGTGTCTAAAGGCCTGCAATAAAAACACAGAAACATTCACAGCAACTATGCATAAATGTTTGCCTTGATTAACTAATAGTAATAACTAATAACTCCTAGAACTGTACCTCAAGCCTAGCATCAACCTCAGCATCTCCAGCAACAACAAAAACATCCTGCTCTTTTCCTAATTTTTGTATGACGGATTGTTTAGTGTGCCAATACTTGCTTTCCACTTTCCCTTTAAGACTATTTGATGGTGGTGGTCGATAGTTGTTGTAGTTGTAGCCATAACTGGATGTGTCTTGATTTTCATGATCTTGATAACGATCAAAGCTTCTATCATAGCTGGAGAAGATAACGAGATATTATTATCATAAATCATCGCTATACATCAGGAGTATTTGCAGGGGTTTTATGAGGAGGGTTTCCAGCTGGGGTTCCAAACTGTTTGACTATCCAAAAATTTGTAAACCCATTGACTTGGCATATAAATTCTTTTATTTCTTAAGTCTTTGTCTGCCAGCCAAGAAATGGGTGTTCCAGAACCCCTAAAACCTCCACTGCACGCCCCTGTATGTACATGATATAAATAATGTTGGAGGCCATTTGGCATGATAAAAAGTGATCATGATCACTGTCTATGTGACATCTGTCAAAGTTGCAGAAATAAGCCATTAAATGTGGCAATTTCACAACATTATTACCTTTCATCAGGCTCTTGAGGAAGAGAATGGTACGACATTGTAGTGTGTTGTTTTATGCCTTTATCAGATGGTAACTACAGAAAAGAGGAAATTGATAAAACTACATCAAACACTGTTGTGGTATGCTTAGAAAAGAAAAACAATAACTGAAGCCTGAATATGAGAGAGAAATGGTTAATGAACATGAAGGGTTAATGCTCTAAACATCAGTACAATTTCTATCTATTTGCAGTGTTTAACCAATCCCGTTATTACAACTGTTACACAAGAAAAACTGATACAGGACAAACTCCTTCAATGCTCCATGTAGCCATCTTACAAAATTAAAAAAATAACAGTTAAGATTGGGAATAAACCTATCACTTATTTTGTTGTTTTGTAGAGTTCAAAATGTCCTTAACAGAGTTCGTATCAAACACTAGCTAAATGTATGCAATGAATAGTACTAATCAAACAAAAGATAACAATAGAATTTAGATAATTTATCACATAAATTTTAATGTTTACACTATAAATATAGGTCAGACTAGAAAAAGAAAAAAAGAAGCTTAAACAAATAACAAGTATGTCTTCTCAAAATTAAGAATTTGAAATAGCAAAGATGCAATGGAATTTCCCCTAAAACTCTTAAATAGGATTCTTGATCGAAGTACAAGACATACTCTTACATTGTATTGTATACAAGTTTAAGGTTATTTGCAATATTTATTGGTGTAGTTGTTTTTAATTGTAAGGAAAAATTGAATTATAGTCTAAGTAGCAGCTTAGTGTTGTTATTATCCGAACAAAACTGTTTAGTGTTTAGTCATATCAATATGGGATTTTTTTCAACTTTACACGTATTCATACGCTTCGCAAAGAAACGACATTACAATGATTACTAAACGCTTTTAAAAGGTAAGAACGGATGCCCCGAGTACTTCCTAGTATATAAAATGACTCCTGAACACAAGACTATTGAMAAAAAATACGAATTTAAATGGCAACGTTGACTAAAAAGAAGACGAAGATTTATTGAACAGGTGACCAATGACTTTTGATTCAACGCCTTCAAAATTTCAGTACTTTCTGATGAACAAAACCAAACGAAATTCTAACATAAACAACGAGAACTTACCCTCTATACGTTAAGTCATTGTGTAGCTCAGCAATTAAATTACAGTGAAGTATAAGAGGGTAAAGACCTTCTCCTTGTTCTTTCAGAAAACAAAATGGCGTCTTCGCGCTTGCGCATGCGTACGCATGCTCATGAAAAAGACACGTAATAGATTGATAATTTATGCATAACTGCATTATAATTTGGCACCCGGCACTCGTATTATTTGCTTTCAAGTTTATTTTCTCATTTTTCATAGAAATGTCCATAACAAATTATATCGTTTTATCACAAATATTCAATATCCTCTCTGAATGTCCACTCGGTTCAAATTCAATAGAATAATACTTAAAGTTTCTTGGACTTTGTGCAAATAATTGACGTTACAGTTTACACTGACTTCTCGTAAATAAAAAAATCTTCTTTAAAGTATTTTGAGTTGTAAGTGCGTGAAGAAAAGCAATAATGTATGTGAATACGTCATTACAAACTAATGACGTCAGAAATTACTATTACCGCTGCTACAAATTCGCAGGCGCAAGTGAAGAGGGAGGACGGAGTGAAAGTTGGTGTTTGGAACGGAATTTGTACGTATTGGACATTCAATCCGATCATATTTTAAGCAAGCAGGTAATTGCTACGTGATCTTCTTATTACATTTGTTGCTGTTAATGTAGGAAAAGAGACTTTGAATGAGAAATGCTGAATTATTTTGTGATGACAGCAGTGTGGCATGAAAGCATGCAACACGTCGATCGACTTTAAACTTCTGCATGTATTAAGACATGTAATAAGTTAATAATCACTCATGAAGATTTAGCCTGAAATGTCATAATGACATTCCTTATCGTGGTTACTTAAATAATGCTTTGCTTGTGTCTGACAGTGCTTTCCTAAAACTATTTGTCTCCTGTTGTAGTCATAATAAGTTAATGTCGAATAAGCTATTGTAGCTGATCTCATTTTGATTTCGTGAATTGAATGTTATGGTAAGAAAACAAAAAAGGGTATTTTATGGTAATACCTAAAAATGGCATTGAAACATTGAGTTAAGGAATCAGGTAGTTCTGATACTCAACACTAAATTTGTAATTCTTTTAAATTTTAAAACTCTGTGTTCAACGGATATTGTACTCATAGGTTAGGATGCAGGGCAGGGGCACTCAGTAGACTAGTGGTAATTCCATAAGTCCCAGTTTGCTCTTGGTTAGATTTCTTGTCTCTCATTGGTTTGAGAAAACTACGACTCATGAAATCAGTCTAGGGTACTCAATAAAATTTTTAGTATATATGACGCTCTTTCTTAGATGATTAGAGGTCCATGTAGGCTCAAATATATTGAAAATAATGCATGACGATGCATGGCATATATTGTAAACTCACATGGACAAGTTGTTTATTCCAACGCATAACAACAAAACAACAAAAAGTGTCTGGTTTTGGAACCTATTATGCACCTATCAACGTTTTGCCCCAACGGTTGAAGTGCAGGCATACCCAGGGGCTATTGCCATTTTTATATTTTTTTGTCAATAGCCCCCATTCTGGGGGTTTATGTTCATGTCAATATTTGTTAAATACCCCCATAGTTACTGTAACCCARTGAAAGGTTTTTTAGATCTGAAACTTTCTCAAAGCCTCAACTATATTTCATTAGGTTGTTCCAGTTTTATTAAAAACATAGGGCGTGATAGATTTTGTGAAAACCATAACTGTGTCTTTCAAAATTCTTTTACACCTGGTGGCATCATTTTTACTTGAAGAATCTACCTTCTTCGCAACCTCTTGCTGCCTTTCCACTATATATATAACATTTGTTGCTCCAACCCTCCTCGGTCAAAATGTCAATAAACACTACCCAGTGGAAACCCTGTCTCAATAAAAGTCAAGTTGCCCCAGTCGCGAGTGACATTCTATTTTCAATAGCCCGCGTGTGCCCGCACTCCCCCTGTTGGGGCAAGACATTGATAGGTGTGTTAGCTACATACACAGCATATGCCATATGCTGGCACAATTAATAAGAATTTTTCATTTGTCAGTTCTACATAGAAATATATCACCATGTCTGATGAAGACAGAATGCGGAGTGAGATTGCAGGAATGCAAATGAGGGGAGACGAACTAACTGACGAGGTATGTTTACTTCTTGCAAAACACATTCATTTTCTATAGAATCCCATACATATAAATCATGATAGGAATCATGACTTAATTTATATTATTGCACTGAAATAAAAACAACTAAAAATTACTTGAACTTACTAAAACATTTTTGATTAGTCCCTAGAGAGTACTCGTCGTATGCTACAAATGTCAGAAGAGGTAATGCTCAACAAAAAGTAACATAAGTTTAGCACAACAGCTTTTCTTCTCTTTGAATTATTTATATGTTGTTGTTTTTTTAGACACAAGACATTGGAATCAAGACGCTAGTTACTTTAGATGAACAGGGTGAACAACTTGATAGAGTTGAAGAAGGTCTTGATCAAATTAATGCTGATATGAGAGAAGCCGAGAGAAATCTTACAGGAATGGAAAAATGCTGTGGGCTTTGTGTTTGTCCATGGAAAAGGTTGTTAATAGATATTTTACATTGTATGCATGTATATTTTTAAACCCCTTGCATAAAAAAGTCAAAGCAGCTTTATCTTKAGGACCAAAAAAAATTCCTTCTTTGGGATTTCTGGAATCCATTGTTTTGTCTTCCAGTTGGAAGTGCATAATTCTTGTGAACTGCAATATTAGGTTTTACTTTGAAATCTTCTGATTGGTATTTTATTGAATATCTGAATATCTTGAAATTCTCAGCTTATCAGAAATGTCTTTTCAGATGGTTGAATACTCAATATTGCCATATTCTGCATATTGCATTCCAAGACTGCAATTAWACTGCTTTACAAAATGGCAATTCTATCCATTGAAGTTTTTGACTGTACTGTACCGTTTACTCCTTCTAAGTAGCAATGAAATAAATTTTAATGTTTTCTGAAAAAGCTGAAGGAAGGATGAATTGTTATCTACTGAACAAGAATTTGTTTGGTGTACACTTTGCACCAATTGGACCTGTAAGAATTGACAACAAACTTACATTTATTTTTTAACATGATTCTCCTTTGAATTTGTAGAAGAAAAAATTATGAAAAAAGTGAAGCATATAAAAAAGCTTACAAAAAGAATAATGAAGATGGTGTTGTATCTAGCCAGCCTGGAGGTATGTAATAGTTGAATATCAGCTACGTGGAGTAGTTATTTTCAGCCATGCTGGCCCACATCTCATATACAACTAAGGGGGCAGTAAAATGGTGAGGGGGGGAGGAGGGTGCCAAAAAGTTGCAGTACATTATTATAAAAGTTTTTAGGTTTTAGGTTATAAAACTAGTGGCATATTTTTCTTGTAGGCTATAATACATCAACTAGCAGAACTGATGCTCCTTCCTCTGGCTATGTACAAAGGTAAATGGAATAGTATGTGATAAAAGGTTGTTACATTTATCATTTATTTGTGCCTGCAATGTTCAAATTTTATTCATTTCCTTTGAAGAATTACCAATGATGCCAGAGAAGATGAAATGGATGAAAATTTAGGGTAAGATGCTGTGCAAAAACTGTTGTACCATAGCATAACCACCAGCCATTCATTCTTTGATCTTTTATGTTATTTTCTTTCAGTCAAGTATCCAACATCATTGGAAATCTTAAGTCAATGGCTGTGGACATGGGCAATGAAATTGATACTCAAAATAGACAGCTAGAGCGCATTAATGCCAAGGTAAGACATAGTTCTTCAGATAATTATGTCAATAGTAATGTACTCTTACAAGAACTCTGGATTCCTGAGGTCTCTGCATGACCTGCACCAGAGAAGGCATTAATAGAAAGTCATGTTATGTTACAGTGGTGACAATTTAGAAAAGAAAAAAAAAAGATAAACAATGTAAAAAAAGTTGATATTTGTTTTCTATTTTCTTGATAGGCTGAATCAAATGATGCAAGAATAAATGTGGCTAATAAGAGAGCAAGAGACATTCTTCGAAATGCTTAAAAAATGGTTATTACATTATCTTTATCAGTCTAATTCTTTAGGAATTAAGAACAGTGGTGATTTACAATCTGAGGCTCACATAAATCATAAAAATTGCAGTGTAATGATTAATTATAAACGATTATTTTCATAAACACCTTCATTTGATTTTGATTGTGAACATATTTCGTTGTGATAGCTGTTAAAATGCAGTGTAAATCAGGTTATGATTGCTTATTTGTAGACATCTCTCTTTTATTGTCCATTTTGATCTTGATTAGAATGTGTTTTAGTATTCTATCATCCATAATACTATAAAAGTATAAGTTTGTATATTGTTGCAGTAGTTTTTAGACTTTAGTCTTGTCATTTAAATTTACCCGCCATTTTTAGCAAAAATATTGTAAAGCACAAATTTGGTACAAAAGACAGTGCCCTGTTGTACAATTGTAATAAAGACCATTAGTATAAAAAATGCGAAAATATTTTAGTATTTATAGTGAAGCCATGTACATRTGTGCCTAATCACAACCTCCTTTCAAATGATTGACAGCTCAGAAATGTTACCAATATTAAAAGAAAGCTCCATTGCACCTGAAAAGACACCAAACAAACTGATTTTCCCATCATAAAACTTTCGTCATATTTCTGTGACTGATCCAAAAACGACATACAAAGTTTATAGGTTAAGTCTATAAAATGTGAGCACCTAAAACAACAGAGATCGACCATTCTGAAAAAAAGTTAAAGTGGGGTTGTTCAATTTAAACTACCGGCAATATATTCAGGGCAGAGCAATGAATATTAAAATTGATAGCATTTTCAAATCATTTTCTTTGCGTACTCCAGGTACTCTATCACCTGAAAAATTTCCTGTGCTTCGTTGGATTATTGGGTTCCCTGTGGATTTCTCACTCKCCCGATTGAGTCACACTTTTAGTCGGTTGCTCAATAGATCTAATAGAGTGAAGCGTTTTATAATCACAGCTGAAAAATGTCTATCGTGCTCGAATTCATTYTAAATGYTTACAGAACAAGCAACGCCCTTCTGGTTGCAGTAATTCTTGGTGTAGTTCCYATCATTGTCTTTCTTGTCCGACGAGCTAAATCCRCTGGAAAAAATCCGTTCAGCAAGGACACTACACGAAAGCCAGAACCTATCATTCTTAATCAGGCYGARCGAGATCGCATTCTCAAGCAAGGTTTTAGTGCTAAGAAAATCCCAGAGAACTTGGATGCCATAGTTATTGGCAGTGGAATTGGAGGGATGTCGTGTGCTTGCCTTCTTGCCAGAAGTGGAAAGAAGGTTCTTGTTCTTGAGCAACATGACCAAGCCGGGGGATGCTGTCATACGTTCCACGATAAAGGTTAGTTCCAAGGGTCTTTTCGCCCGGAATAACCTCCTTTCTGAACGCTACGTAGTGCTACGCGGTCTCGACCTATCTATTTCACCCTGACCTGCTCCCAGCCTTACCTWGTAGCTGAGGTTTTGGAGCATCGGTAGTACAGATCAGAAGGTCGTAAGTTCGAAYATCAGCGAGATCARAAGTTAAGATCAGAAAAAAAGGAAAACAAAGAGWTTGGTACTCAATGTTTAGCAACTGTGTTGCAAACTATTTTATGGTAATATCTTTKTAGAATATATTAAAATATTCTCAGTGTTTCTGTTATGTTGCCTTATGGTTAATTATGTCCCAAGGCTAGAGGAGAAGGTAAGGGAGAAGGAGGAGGCGGGAGCAACAACACTTCAAAACATTGCGAATCACTGTCTAACCCCCATTCAAACAGGGAGGCAACCAGGATTTTCTTCAGGGAATGTTGCAGAGTAAACAGGAGGAGTGCACTGCAAAGAAATATTGTAAAGGAGATATAAAATAAGGGAAAGTAACTCTGCACCCATCAGCTGGATCTGAAGACCAGCAAAGCCCTTGTAAATGTTTCATTGTCAAGTACTTTCCAATGTTCACTATCATTATATTCATCTTTTTCAGGATTTGAATTTGATACTGGCATTCATTACATTGGTGAAATGCAGAACCGCACTGCAACAAAATTTCTTATCGATCAGCTGACTGATGGCCAGTTACTCTGGGCACCACTTGAAAAGCAGTATGACACAGTTGCCATAGGAGAYGCCAATAATCCAAGACTGTATCCAATCATGAGTGGGCGTGAAGAATATAGAAAGGCGCTTATTGAGAAATTTCCCAAAGAGAAARATGCCATTGACAAATATTTAGAACTCTTGAAGGTAATGATTTAAAATAATATCAAGACAAGAAGAAGCRTTAGAATGCTGTATTTCTTCTCCCAGTGCTAGGTCAAATGTAGTATTCAGGTTATAGCTAAAATTAAAGCAGTCCATGATGAGTATTATAAAGACTCAGGGATTTCATTATAAGCCAGCAACCTGCAAAGTCCTACATCTATTTTGACTTTTGGGCCAAGTATGTCTTCACTTATCTCGGAATGGATTCTCTGATTGGCTGTGTCATTCTTAAAAGAATAAATAGAAACTTTTTATCTTTTTTTTCTCCTTTTTTTTATTTTGAACGAGCCAGCTGTTGGATTACTACTTCCAAGAGGTGAAAACGCACCCTTTGGACCGGCTACTTTTGCCAAATTGTTGTGTGATAACCCTTGTGACCTCTTACTCGCGACTTTCAAAAATGGTGGTATTTCACCACTGCCAATATTATAGGACCAGTGACGAATCATGAAAACGAGACATCAAAGACCTTACATCTAAAAATCACTACGAAGATCGCATGTGTGGCGGTGTTCAAAAGTTTGAAAGATGTATTGGTATATTTATAACAAAAAAATCTTGCAAGACACCATTGAAGCTACGGAGGCTGGCATTTGAGACCTTGTTTTAGTGATTCCTCGCCAGTGCCCTGGTCAGCGACTGTGACATATCATGTCAATTTTTTGAAAGTYGTGAATGATCCATATACAGCTACCTTTTCAAAACAGCCACCTTCTGCCAAGTGAAACCCCTGAAATTGTAATTCTAAAAGTACTATATTAGACATGGTGTTCAACACCTTTCTAACTTATCAGGATTCAGTASTCACCCATCCAAAATATTCATAGACAGTAGTATACCCCTCTCATGTTAAGAAAGGGGAATGAATGGAAGAAATCTTCTGGAATAAGCTAGTTACCTCATTATAATGCATTAGTGACTTACTCTTCTTACAATGAATAATCTAAAATGACTACTATTTTCTTTTTTTCCCTTAGAAAATGAGAAAATCTGTGATGAGCTATTTTATACTTAAGTATTTACCACGTTATCTTGGACAATTTCTGGTCTCCACTGGTATTATACATCTGTTCACTAACTACTTTAAGATGTCCAAGAAGTCTTTGACTGAAGTTCTCGATGAACTCACTGACAACAGAGAACTGAAAACTGTATTGGCATACAGTTTTGGAGATTATGGTAAGAGGAATTATAATTGATCTAGTTTGACTAAAATGATTTCAAAATGATCAAAACMACTTTTTGAGCCAGCTGAAGTTGACCGTTTAGAGTTATGACTAYTTAATGTACTGAMATTAAGAACTAATGGAGCAATCAATTTTGTAGGTAATATTCCAAAAGAAGGCAGCTTTGCTATGCATGCCATTCTGACGAACCATTTCATGAATGGCTCATCATATCCTCAAGGTGGGGCGAGTGAAATTGCTCTCCGTCTGACTCAGGCTTTGGAAAAGATGGGAAGTGCCGTCATGGTAAGAGCACATGTCACTCAAATTTTACTGGATGAAGAAACCGGCCGTGCTAAAGGTAATTTTAAACCATTGTGAATCAGTGTTAACTGTTGCCTTCAATTTAGGCATCTCTTTTAATTATTTCCTCTTTAAAAAAGCAGGCTTTCTGTGTTAGATTAGCAAGAGATCAGGACTAGTATCGAGGCAGGAGAAAAATAATTACAAAAGCCCAAAATTTCTTTAAAACTGGAAAAGGGAAAGGAGGCTTAATGCTAAATCAGTGTTTTTGGAAGTAGATTCTGATGTAGTCAATGCACACGTTCGTCCAAGAAACATTGTTTCTTTTGTCTTACAAAAGCTCTGTTGAATGATGGTTTCCAACTACTGTTTCTAATTTTCACTTCATGAGAATTTCTGCTTACAACTGGAGCAAAAAGCAATTAAGATAACATTATATAAGACAGTTATATATGATGGTTATATGATTCTAGACTGGTTTTTAATTCATTCCGTTAAATTCAAAATACAAAGGCGGGCGCCATGTTTGTTGTAGTACCGCCAATATGGCTGACTAAACTTGAAACCATTAATAATTACTTCATCAAATTCATGATCAAMTTCCTGATATTTCAGGTGTCCGTGTGTCCAAAAGCAGTGGAGACATTGACATTCGTGCTCCACTAGTCGTTTCAAGTGCTGGTTTTTACAACACCTACGAAAAACTCCTTCCCCAAAGYGTTTCTCCWTTGAACTCCATCTTGAAGACCACCAAAGGTGTCAAACATGGGGTAGGAGCCATTACAGTGTATRTAGGTCTCAAGGGATCCAAACACGATCTTGGCCTTAAAGCAACAAACATGTGGGCTTTCATCGACAACAACTTGGACCAGATCTCAGAAAAGTACCTTCAAATGCAACCAGAGGAAGCTGGCAACCAAGATGTCCCTCTYCTTTTYATATCCTTTCCATCCACTAAAGATCCAGAGTGGGAAAAGCGGTTCCCGGGTAAGTCGACGTGTGAAATTGTATCGTTTGCACCTTACGAGTGGTTCGAAGAGTGGAAAGACAAGCGTGTGATGAAACGAGGGGATGATTACGAGGAGTTGAAGCACCGCATTGGTAGACGCATGTGGGAGCAAACGTGCCGATTATTCCCTCACATCAAAGACAAGGAAGAGTTCTTCGACGTTGGATCACCTTTGAGTAACCAGTACTACATCGCGTCGCCCCGTGGAGAAATATATGGACTTGATCACAATAAAGATCGCTTTAGCCCTGAAACGTGCGTAAATCTGCGACCCGAGACAGGCATYCCTGGATTATACTTGACCGGGCAGGATATCTTGACGTGCGGTTTTGCTGGTGCCATGTTTAGTGGTGTGTTCACTGCGTCCTCCATACTGAATAGAAACGTWATGTCTGACATGATGAACTTGCGTGAACATGTGAAACATGGCAAGTGAAACTACCAAATAAACATTAATTGATGGGGATACTCACGATGAATAATTTTAACAATCAATGGAACTTGTTATTTGTCAATTTGTTGTTGTCTTTGTACATTATTGTCAACATAACATGCGTAATTTTTTTTTAATACGGAAATATTGTACTCAATGACACTCATAATGAAGTTTACATGGAAATTAAATGTGTTGCAGATATTTTCTATATTTTATATTCTTTCTTCTTTTGTTCTCAAACTTTTACTTTTTTCTCAACCCTTGATGTTTTTAAACTTTTTTCTCTGCCATTTGTTCTTCCTACCTCACAAGGTTGGTAAAAAAAAAGTATTGCTGATGCTTTGAAGTGTCAAAAGTCACCAAGGTRAAAAAATATGAGCTGACAGGGCTCAATGCGTTACATAGCGTGATCACTTCCCGATCAGTTATAAGTGCTTGGCTAGCATTGGCYTAAATTTTGAAAGTGTATAGAGGGCAAACCACTCGAGCGCTATGAGTAATATTATAAAATTAGAAGCAGGCGATTTTGAGCAGCCTCTATCCACCTAGGGGAAAACACTGCTCTTGCAGTCGGAATTCTTCTAGTAAGTACTCCCTAGTGATGGCTTTTGGTCCCCGAGCAGCTAAAAAGTGTTTACGCTATTTTGTTTATTTTGTGGGATTCACTTTCACTGGTGTTTTTGTGATTTATGTATTTTATACTGGACAACGTCATCAAGCTTACATTCGTGTTCCAAACCTACAGTGCAACTACACAGATCTTGAAGTTGAGCAACTGTTAAATCTAACTTTTGACGTTCATAATRTTCTTGATCAACTCCATCTAGACCATTGGCTCATGTATGGTTCTGTTTTTGGCGCCCTTCGAGCACAAGGACCTTTGCCATGGGACTACGACGTTGATATAGGAATTAGAGGCGAGCAATTTCTGGCGATTGACAAAGCCACATTTTTTCAGAGTTTTACATCCAAAGGAATCAGKTGTACAGATCACCTTAAAASAARTGGTTTGATARMGTTTAGTAGACSTGGATGGAAACTTTCTRTGGACGCGTTTACGTTTTACAATTACAGAGGAATCATGAAAAGACCTGGATGGGMWTCCTGGTTGCTTTTCGTCAACTACGAACTTCACCATACTTTCCCCGCGCGATTAGTAAATCCACCTTTGCCGAAMACTAAGTTTGGGTTTTTCAACATTTGCATTCCTCATGGGAAGAACGAAATCACCAAATATTTGTATAGATTTGACTGGTGGAAGGAAGTTAGACCTTTACGATGTTAATAATAATYATTATTAGCGATTATTAGACATTATTGATGGATGAGGTTCTTGTAGGTCCATCACTGTGTTGTCGAATSTTTCTGTGGGCTCCCTCGAGAACTTTACCGCAGTCGTCTTCTTTACAGGGCTTCTGACTTTTACGGCAATGACTATTTTACCCCTTCATGCAGGAACCTCTGTGTATCACGAAGAGTTCGAAACTCGAGCAGTTTCAAAACTTTGTCTGCGCTGTTCAATACGATCTAGACTAGCCTCGGCCTTCTTTGACCGCAACTAAAGTACAATCGGATTTGAGTGCTAAAACGTTACGGCCTTTTTCAGAACATATATCTAATCTTTTGACATCAAATTTCTCCTTCACACAACGAATTTCTCTTCTGATCAACATTTAGTGCTCATTCCCCTTGATTTCAGTTTCCCATTATATAGAAATGATGGTCTATTTTTGTACTTCTGAAATTTGAAATTTACAGTTATTAACTGTAATAAACTACCCGAAGCGCGAACACGTATTGATCATATTAAAAWGAATTCATTATATTCCATTCTAGAAATTTTCTTAAATTTGATCATCAAAGAGTTTGTGAGCTTCATGGTATACATGTGAGCTTGTTTTTTAAAAGATCAAGACTTTCAATGAAACATGTTTTGTCTATTGACCTTTTCATGTTTCATTGAAAGTCTTGGTCTTTTAGTGTGTCAAAAGAGATTGTTTAGACAACMAAAACAAGTTCACATGTGACCATGATCGGTATTCATATTCAAAAATGTTCGACATTATAATATGCACACGGGTGCTAACTAACTGCACATAAACACAAAATTTTGAAAMGTTGACTGATAAACTCATGCAATAATTAATACTTGAATCAAAGAATCAACAATAATTGAATCATGTGCGCATAGGCGTTCATTTCTCCGCGCGAATGATAAAAATGGCCTTTGTTTTGGTGTACAGACTGCATAAATTATCTCTAATAAGAACAACAGCCAATATAGCACAGAGCAGACAGTTCTCGATGTTGTACATTTATCAATCGGAAACAGTTAGAAAGAGAAAACATCATTAAAAACAAAATACAAATATTGCTCTTCTCAATGGTGGACCAGTGTGATAAGATATGCAAAAACGGTCAAAAACGAGTCAGGTTCATCCGTCTGTGAAACAATTACTACTAGTCCGTGTTTAGAGTGATCTCACTTAAAGCGTGCAACTGTATAAAATCTAAGTAGTATTAAGGTGTTTCGATCGTAATAAATAGCGTTTCGCGCGTATTTTTAAACTCCAACTACGTCGCAAATTCCGATTCGATTGCACTCAAATTTTCACAGAAGTATAAGTGATTATCGATAATTCTTATTTATAGATAAATTTGCCCAAAAAAATCGAAGTTATTTGGATAATCAATGCAAAATAAAAACACCTTCATTTTTCTTCAAAGTCAATTTTCACAAAACTCATCGTATAGATTGTAATAAAATTTTCAGAGTCACTTCTTAATGACATAATTGACATACTGACGAAGTTTGAACGAAATCTTACCCTAGATTTTCGAGACATTTTAGCATTTCAAAATGTTTCTCAAAACGATGAGGCCATGTTTAAAGTCCTCGTTTGTGACAATATTCGAATGTTAAATGACAAAACTACTATATAGCTTGAAAGCTTAATCTTTCGTACAACTGTTGTCCAAGGCACATGCCCATTAGTTTACTACGAAAAAAGTTATTGCCATTTACGCAACTAGTATATTTTAGAAATTTAAACAACTTCATTTCAGAACGTAAAAGAATCTTTCCTCCTTAAAACATTACGCGTTATCGCTCAAATAATCAAATTTCCATCACCAACAAATGTGAATACAAGCTTTTTTTATTTTTCAAGCAACTACATTCGAAATTTTCCGCGGAAAAAATAAATTTTGCTTCGGATTGGCTTCTTGAAGTTGTGATGAGCCACTCTAAAATTTTGAGGGACATCCAATTGACCAATCAAGACTCAAGGGTTCAATTGTTGGCATTTTAGAAAGAATTCTATTGGTATAAAGCACCGTTTTAGATGCATTTAAACTTAATGTTTATCAACTTTTTTAAAATAACCGACTACCGACTAATGCCTAGAATTTTAACTGACTAGCGACAAATACTTGAAATTTTAACTGACTTCCGACATTGAGACCCCCATTAAGACCCTTTTGTATTACAATAGAGTGATTTTCATCGGACTGTGAAATAGTTCCTATGCTAATAGACGCTAGTAGACTCTACACCTATTGCTTTCTTTTATTGTAATACAACTATTAGACAATTTTTAAACACTCACTAATAGTAATTGTTTCACAGACGGATGAAAATAACTCTAGCGAGTCATTTTCATCCGTCTGTGAAATAGAAATTCTACTATTAAATACTATTATTCCCTATTGTTTCCCAATAGTTTAACTTGTGACATGCCAAGTCAATTAGGCAAACACGGTTTTGATTTTGCCTTTTGGTAGCCTACTACACCCTAAATAGTTACTATTAAACACTGACTAGTAGTAATTGTTTCACAGACGGATGAAAATGACTCTAAAAGAAAGCAATGTGTCCCGGGGGGTACTACCTCCCCAACTTGGGTGGGGGTGCGCCACACGACTCTCAAAACCCTTACCCTATCCCAGACCAAATATTTTGACTTTTGCATACCCTACCCCACACTAAAGGTACAAAGCTACCATTATTTTAGCGCTGAAAGCGTGGCCTAGCAGATACGATCACAGGAAAAACTCCGCCCTACCCCAGACAATGAGACTATACCCTATCCTAGTCAAAAAACTACCCTATCCAAGACAAAACTACTACCCTAACCCAGACAAAAAATGGTACCCTATCMCAGGCTTGGAGCTCCGAAAAAGGGACCCTACCCTGCGGCACATGCCCGTATAGCAAATATAGGGGAGTACCCCCCGGGCAATGTGTGTAGATTCTACTAGCGTCTATTAGCGTAGAAACTCACTATTTCACAGTCCGATGAAAATCACACACGTTATTGCTTATTTCATAAAACCCTGGGAAATTCAATTGAGAAGAGCAAACTACATTCATTTTGTTTATACTGTTTTCTTATGCCTTTTGTTCTAAGACATTATTCACAGGTTCTATCATTATAAGCTCAAGTTCTGTCTCGCTTTGATGCCAAGGCTCAGCTACCTTTCAAGATGGTGCTTGGAACTGTAAAATAGAGTGTTGGTGTATTCTTCGTCACAGCGGCCATTTTGGATGACAAACTTTAACAGAGGGTTTCTCATTATCTATTCTTCATTCATCCAACATGGCCGCCGTTCTTTTATCTTTTGAATTGGCATGGGAATGATCGAAAAAATCATGACAAGATAGGGACAGACCTCCTGAAATAGCAATTTGGACTTTATCACATAAGTGGTAGAACTGTTTATAACCCGCGACCATATGAAAAAAGATAAATGTCTGCTCAGGCCATATCGCCGGTCTTTTGAAATCATAWAATCCGTGAAATAGACTCCCGCCGCAGCTCTTACGTCACTTACTTAATTTGCAATGCTTTGTGGKGTCAGTATCAAAAGAAATCAAGGAAATGCATGCGCCATGTTTTGTCCCAAACATTCCCAGAATGCATTTCGTATAGGTGGGCGTACAATGACGTAGTTTGTTTACATCCAAAATATGAAATTCAAAAAATAAGCAATCTGAACAGATATGATTCAAGATTATATTAATCTTAACAAAACCTGAAAATATTAGGGCAAACCGCTTTTTCGATATATCGGCATTTCAAAACTACAAAATCTATAGAAAACATTTGTGGTTGGCAACATAATGCCAACCACAGTCATAGTTTCTTTAGAAAATCTTGCAAATTCGGCGCTTAGTTTATCTTAAAATATTTAACCAATTGCCTTCAAATTGGCAGGAATTGTTAACAGGTATGAGATCTTTTCATTTATGGGCTCAATTTTCTTGTGGCTTTAAATTTGATTTCTGACTTTTATGCAAATTAGGTCAAAGGTAAACATTGGCGCCCACCTATTCTTGGTGTGCAACCAACCACGTGACCAAGAATCCCCTGACAAATAAAGAACAAAGCTATCGCCGCCATGTTGGATGAATGAACAAGAGAAACTAATGAGGAATGCTTTGTGATCTTCATCCAAAATGGCGGCGATGACTTAACTTGCACGCCAAGAATACTGTATATGAGGTAAAGTAGGCTGTAATTGCATTGTTGTTTCTCTATGTGTTTGACTAACACAATTTAATAGTAACTGAGGTACGTTTGTTTCACGGGTTTAATGACAGCACTATATGGTATGCCGTGGTATGAGTATTCGCAGGTAAAAGTTAGAAATCATAGATCAACGTACGTGAAAAACATGACAGCTGACATGACAAGCACAGACTCAAATATTTTGTTGTAACAAATGGTTAATCTTTATTTATAGTCCCTCTGTCCAAACATCTCTTTCATAAAATACAACATTTTTGTCCCATATTGCGGCCAGTGTCAGTGTTCAGCTTGTGTCCTTCAAGATCCACGGCGTAATTCACTTCGATTTATACATGTACATTCAGTCGATGATTTATCCAAATGTGAAATTAAATCCTCTATTGCCACCGAAACCTCCCCCTCCCGGGAATCCAGCACCACCCGGGAATCCAGCACCACCCGGGAATCCAGTGGGTCCACCACCTATGAAAACACAACAAAGATTTAGATAACATTTCTTGCATTAATTTCAGTCTTTTTCTGTCATTTTCACTTTCTTCTTTTCTTTCTCTCTTTTTTGCGTTTAATTTTATGATTTTTGGGAGCTCATTTCCTGAAACACGTTTCTTTTTGTTTTGCCAAATGACTGGTGAGTTTGATCTTTCAGACTGTGTCTCATTTTTGGGGGGGTTTACCGGTATTAACGCGGGTCGAGGAAATATTTAATTTGAGATATTTTTTAGCACCTTGCTATAACAAAATGCGACAACCTATTAAAAAAACGTGACGCCAGTTTGAAGTTTATCTACTAAAAGAGATCATCCTACAATGTCTGAATCATACCTGGCCCGCCAAAGTTGAAAGTGAATCCACCAGGAGCTCCGAAAAATGCTTGGAAAATAGAATTGGGATCGAAATCTAAAGAAAACGAGACAAAAKACATTATGTAACCAAAATTGAATGTTAAAAGGAGATAGAAAGAAATAGTTGAAAACAGAATTAGCATTACCATCAGGCATTCCAAAGGTATCTTCCAAGTCTTGACCGCTGTCGTATCGCGCGCGTTTTTTCGCATCAGACAGTACGCTGTASGCTTCGTTGACCTGCAATGCATCATATGTTATTTTAKTGGGAAAAATATCGTGGATTGACAAAGTAAACCCACAAACCTCTTTAAAAAGCTTTTCTTCTTCCTTTTTTTGTTCGTCAGTTGCTCCTGAGTGTCGATCTGGAATAGTTATAAACACTTTATCAGACCGACTTATCAAAGTTGTCAAAAAATAACATGCATGCGCGCGCGTCGAGATATGCGCTGAAAAACGCGGGAAAATTCTAATAAATAATCGGAAGCGACCAAAAAAAATACCTGGGTGATGTTGAAGGGCACTTTTTCTGTAGGCTTTTTTCACTTCATCGTCTGTTGCATTTTTTTGGATTCCCAAAATCTTGTAATAATCTTTTCTCTTGCTTTTTTTGAGTTCCAATTTAGCCTTTTCAAGGTATCGCCGAAATTCTAAAGGATGCAAAGAGACAATTAGTTATTGCTCCAAAATTACAAACGAGGAAATTGCAGAGAAGAAAAAAACGAAAAGAAAAATAAAACAACGGAAGATGCAAAACGGCATTTGAAAAGGAAATTAGGACTTTATAAATTAGGAACAAAACAGGTGAGCTTTCCAAACCATACATGAAGACTTTCACACTTCAACAAGATTGCAAACTCAGCTATCGTTTGATTGTTATTGCTTGAATCAGGTTTACCTCTCGAAGAGCGGTCTTTTCGACAAAGTAATTCGTAATCCCTTACTGCCTCTTCGTATTGTTCATTATCCATGTACCTAGAGAAAATAAGTCTTACATTAAATTGAATACACATCCACCAAAAGTGTGCTAAAGTCATGAATCACACTAGACAAGTAGCTACAAGTACAGGACAACTTATAGAAGTTAAAGACAGAACGGCAAGACACATTTACACCAATGATACATTTGTATTAGAGCACTGAAATGATATTTAGTATCAGAATTCTTGTCAAATCCTTTGGGCTGGTGCATGAATTTAAACATTCTTCAACAAACTTAAACTTTTCGGACTTTCRGGGATTAAGCATTGTATTATACCATCATATTCCTTCWTTATTCACATCCACCCTTCCCWAACTATCACAACAAAAATCTGATGTTCTGTACATTTGATTTCAAGAATTGACATACAGCTGAGCTCGTTTCAGGTAAGCTTTGGTATAGGTGTGATCCAATTCTACAGCTTTGGAGCAATCTTCTATTGCTTGCTCATTTTTATTGATCTGAAACAAAGAAAATAAAACGTTTTCTTTCTCTACTTACTCTAAAAAAAATAACACAGTGCATTTTATGTGTCTAGTACAGTTACTATGTTAAATTACAGTACCGGATCCAGGATTTTTCAAAGGGGGGTTCCTCTTTGTTTTCGCATTTTCCTAAAACGAACTTTTTTACTGTGCCTCTCGAACTGTAGCAAATGTAGTGTGAATGTATTGAATAAAAATTCATTGTACGATGCGTTTTCATTTTATTTCATTTATCATTTATTTTTTATTTTTTTATGCTCGAGGGGGGTTCCTAGGAACCCATGGAACCCCCCCTTTGATCCGCCACTGAATTACAACTGCAATAASTTGAATATGGCAACTTTTTAAGTACCTTAGAACCAGCCACAGCTCTGTTGTAGTATAATTTTGCGTTTGTGTATTTGTTAGGAGGGTCAATCTCTAATGCTTCTGAGTAGAGATTGTAAGCTTTATCATATTTTCCACTACCAAATGCATCGTTGCCTTCTTGTTTCTTGGCCTGCAATGACTTGGCTTTCTAAAAAAGACAGAAATAACAGAATTGTATGCTATACATAGAAAGGTTTTTGACATTTGAGTTTGACATTTGAGTTTTCAAACATACATGTAAGAGATTAATTGTGTGCTAGCCAAATAAAAAGTATTCAAAAAATAAGACAATATCTTAAATTAAGGAGGTAGTTACGATATTTATTTAGTATTGAATGTTTAGGTTAAGTACACTTGTAAGTTTAGTTGAAAGTATTAATACTAAAAAGTTATTAAGTTACAAATGTATAAAGTTGAAATAGAAGAAAAACTTTCAAAGGTCTGTGGGTGTTTATACAGYATTCATGAGGATGCTAACATCATTCAACACATATTTTAGGCATTCRCAGATACATTCAAATGATAAAATCGTGGTTATAAGAATAATTGAGTACTTYATTTTACCTTGTATGCTATTCTTGCTTTTTTGTTATCTGGATCTCTTTTCATAACTTGRGTAAAATGTTGGTAGGCTTTTTCCACATTATCCTATTATAAATAAAAAAAATGTGAATTCATTCCTAGATCTGAAAAACATGTATTCAGTGCAAAAGGTCCATTACAAAAGGWTCATCATGAAATGTTCTTGAAAAACTGTCCAGTGAACTCACTTCACCTGAGTTTTCATTGTTTTTGTTGTTATCAACTTTGTGCAATTATTTCTTACATAAACACTGTTCATTTTACCTGGTAGTAGAGACATAATCCTCTTACATATATAGCATCAGTGTTTGATGGGTCTTTCCTTAAGATTTCACTAATGAAAATCAAAACAAAAAGCACATAGGATATTGATGATATTGCATAATATACGTTTCCAACAACATTCAATTCATAAACATTGGCAATGGATCATTAATTTGATCCAATAGATAATATGAACTACCACAGATCAATCCTCTAAATCAAGKTTCCACCCAAGTTAAAAGGCACTTTTGTAAGCAGAACTTACAGCAATTGAATCAGCCCTCACAGTTAGTCTAGGACTATTCGAGGTGAGGACAATTAAAAAAAAGAAGAAAACTAGTTTAAAAATACCAAAAATGTACAGTTTTCCAAGAAAAAAAAGAGAGAGAGAGAAAAAGTACGTAATATTAGAAAATTATATCTTTATTGCCTTCCTGTACGAACAAACTGAATGCGAAAACTTACAAAATGGTATCATATGATAAATCATACAAAATATAATAATACTGACTTCTATGAAAATAGCAAAACCATACAATCATGATATAGTTATTTTAAAACAAAATTGCATCAGCTTTACTGTATGCTGCAATGACTACTKTAAACTCAACCTAACCTCACTAATATTAGTACTCTACATTGGATAAATCCTTATCAAGCAAATAAAATTTACACAAATGTATGGAATGGACTTATCCAAGAGTAAAACAAGTGCTTGAACATGTAAATAAGTTTACTAATTGGGTACATATGGACATAAATTTAGGAAAAATGGACTTACGTTGCTTCATGTTCAGCATCAGAGTATTTTTCCAGTAAGGCCAAYGCTTCAGCTTTCAAAACTTTGTATAAAGTACACTCTGGACACAAGTCAACAGCATTTTTCATGCAATATAATACCTGAATTCATGGAAACAACARTTCTTGTTARASATAAYGCYCTAAATGCTTCTACAAAAGGGAAACCYTCCAGGGGTAATCTTTACTGTTCACTGTAGTTTGAAAAAATGAAAGCAAAGTGCAAAGAACTGTCAACAGTACCTTGTTGTAATCCTTTTTGTCATAAGCTTCAAAAGCACTTGATTCTAATTCTTGAATAACTCTTGCAGTTTTTAGCTACAAAATCCATACATGCACTGAGGTAAATGGTAGAATTCTTTAWATGTATTTTTTGTGAAAGAAGTTGTTCTCTGAATGGACTACAAATGGGAGAATTGGCTTGTTTTTTGGTAAAAGACATTTGACAAAAGATATTAGGATGAAACTGTGAGTAGAATTTAGTTAATATGATTCTGAATTGGCAAGTAACAGTTTAWCATAATATATTGTAACAACAAATTATCATTAGAATCATCAGTTGTAAGTTCATAAAACATGGTGTATGCATGAGGTAAGACTTACRTCATTAACAGCATCTTTATTTTTTGGGTCAAGTGAAATTACGTAATGTAGTTCCATGATTGCATTCCTGGTGGAACCCATCATTAAATGACATTTAGCTGCTCTGTAGTGTCCCTAAAATACATTGTGTAAACATGTTTGTTAGTCACTCSTTGGGCAGGTCTTTCTCTTCCTTTTTATCAGCAAGATTTGAAAGTTGGAATTRACTGGAATGRCAAACAGTCATAGGGAAACAGTACAATTTTCCTCATACTACCCCTGATGGTAGTTCATATGATTGACAAAGAGAGTCCATTATTATATGACATTATATAGACATTATAGGTGGATGAGTTTTGGCTATAATCTGTTAAAAGGAAATTATGAAAACGGCTGCTAGAAATCTCCAGCCTGCAGGGCAGAATCAAAGCATACATTAGCTTTAGAAAAGTATCCATCCATATAAATATTTCCATTCACACTAAAATTTTGACTTGACATTGCTTGTTGTACTGGAAGATGCTTCTACCCYATAATWCTYACCTTAACAAAATTATTATCAATTTTGATTGCAGTCATTGCATCTTCCAAAGCTTTATCGTATTTTGACATCATCATATAAGCTGCTGCACGGTTGCCATAAAATGTTGCAATATTAGGAGCAAATGCTGGAGAAAAATAAGCCTTTAATCAAACTATCAATCAATGAATCTAACCTACAATGTTACTTTTACAAACTGAACTATACCAGYCTATAAAGTAGATTTTGTGTGATCWTTAAAAGGATTACTAYTTGCACAAAGTAATCTGTGCTTTAGGGAAATAAGAGTGAATCTGACCCAAATTCCAAAATTKCAGGACACTTTAAGGGACATGGTTYRCCARSAWTCAATGTGGTCRTGTTTTRGAKTTTTCMTATATGGAAWATGAGGTGACTTTGAATATCCATTTACAATCAGTTTCCATCCATCGGCTTAAAGGTTGAATCTTACAGTGTCCCTTTAAGCATTTCTTCCTTTCTAATTGTGTTTTCATTCTAATTTATTTTTGCTGATATGCAATTTTTTTAAATGATTTGGTCAAACATGTACATAGACAAAAATACAACAGACACATCACTCTATGTAATATTAAAATAATGACAATGTCAGGCTTTATGGCTGGTTTGGTATTTTGTAGAGCTTGTTTAGATGAAACATAAAGTCTCGATTTATAAAATCTCTAAACATAAATCTGCAATAACAATAAACAAAACATCTGAAGGATYAAGATAAGTGTSACTGAAGCAGCGGGCTGAAAAAGACCGAGCACGCGACATTCTTGAGATATATTGAGAACCTTTCCAACTCCAAAATTACGCAATCTTCCGAAAAATGCGAACATCGTTTAAAKATAACTTAATCCATACATTCATGCAGTAAAATATACTAAAAAATTGTGAACTTTGAGATAGAAAGACACGAAAGATTCATGATATTTGCCTTCTAGAAACGTCGAGAATGTTCGTTCTTTGTTTATCCAAACACTGTCACCAAAATCAGCATTTTTGCAAGTAATCACTTCCTAACTTCTCACTTTAAGACATAAATTGGTTTGGCTGATAGTCAAGGCTATCTTAAATACCAACCTATCGCTTCTGTGTAGAGCCGTAGAGCTCCTTCGTAGTTTTTCTTGACATATTCTTGGTTTCCTTCGGCTTTTTTCGCTTCCGCCATGACGACACTAAGCAAAAACGAAACAATTATTAAAAATTGCAATAAATAGCATATAGTCAATGTTAAAATACCCGTCTTTTATATCAGTACAAGAATCTTGTTCAACATCCATGAATTCTTCTGTATCTTTGCCGATCTTGGGTAAATTTTCATCTTGATCCATCTTTTCCACAGACACGTTGGCCGCCATGTTGAAATTACTTCGTTTTAAGGGGACTGGGCTCTAGTCTATCTTATATGATTGCGTCATCTGAACTTTTTTGGAATTAAAAAAAACCCTATAACATAAGTTTATTCTTAGATTTTTTAACGTTTCATAACAGTATATCCAT